TTTGGTGTTTTTATATTTACCTGATTGCTCATGATCCTTCTGTCCTTGTGTGAATATATTCTCCTTTGAGAAAGTGGTCTCCTTTCCAGCGTTTACTGGATTACTTAAGCCGGGCGAGACGTTTACCAGTCAGCTCAGCTTAGGGCTCTGGATGGGCAGCTGGTAGCAGCCTTAGACAAGGCATGCTTACATTCAGGGTCTCAATTTAGAGAAGGCTACTGTGTGTGCTCTGAGGTTGAGGGACAGAGCAACTGTTACTTTTCTGCATTTGGGTAGGTCTCAGAGCTGGGCTTCACATTTTCAGACTGAACTGCTGGCTGGGATCTGCGTTCAGGTAGGGCTGTCTGCTGGGCTCTGTGGTCACCTAGTCAGGCAGGGTTGTGGGCCATGTTCTCTGGCCTGCTGTTCGGGGAGTGCAGTTGGTTGCATTCTGGGAATGAGCAGGGACATACGCTGAGCTCCACGTTCATCTATGGTTGGATGGGGCCTCAAGCTGTGCCCCCTGACTTGATGATACTGTTGGCAAGACTGTATTCAGTTAAAGCCACACACAGGGCTCTATGATCAGATGGGAACTCAAGGCGTACTCCTAGATCAGATTGGGACATACACTGTGCCCCAAAACTTGGTGGGCCTATAGGTTGGGTTCTGCAATTTAGAAGGCTCTTGTCTATACTCTGCTGTTTGACAGTCTCTCGCTGGGCTTCTTGGCTAGGTAGGCTGCCGGTTGTACCCCACAGCTGGGTGGAGCTGGAGGCTATGCTCAGTGGCTGAGGGGTGGCTTTTTGGGCTTACTGGTTGGGTGGAGCCATAGGCTATGCTTTGTGATTAGGTGAGGTGGCTACCTGGGCATTCAAACTGGGTGGTTTTCAGGCCATGCTTAGCAAATGAATGGGTTGTAGGCTGTGCTATGCTGCTATACAGCGCCAAGGGCTGATCTCCACATAGTCAGTACCAGGGGCTAGGCTTCAGCGCTGTTGAGGGACACTCTTTGGACTTCCTCAGTCAGACAGGACCAGTGGTCATGCTCTGCAGTTGGGCAGGACTGCTGGCTTGGCTCTCCGCCTGAATGGGCTTGTAGGATGGGCGTCAGAAACCAGGGTCTCTGGTCACCTGTGAGGGTGGAGACTTATGTTCAGCAGTAGAATGGTGCTTCTGGCTCAGTTCTCTGCTTGAACAGACCTACAGAATGGTCTCTGTGGCTGCCTGAGGTACCTGGCCAGCCTTCCTGGTCAGGTTGACAGTACCCTGGGGTTTGCAGTTGGGTGGGCCTGCTGACTTGCTTTCCTTCTAAGTAGCCATAGGATGTTCTTCATGGCTGCCCACAATGCCTGGCATTTTTTGCCAGTCTTCACTGTTGTATGAGATTGGAGGCTATGCTCAGTGGTTGCATGTGGCCAGGGACTTTCTTCCCTGCTTGGGTGGCCATAGGATGTGCCAAATGACTGCCTAGCATCTCAGGCCAGGCTTCCTGCTCGAGGTGGTGGGAGGGGTGGGTTGAAGGCTATGCTCAGCAGTTAAGTAGGACTGCTGACTTGCTTCCCTGTATCGGCAGAGCCCTAGAATTTGTTCCTCCTCCAAGACTGTCCTCTGGCTGAGGAACCAACCAGGCAGAACTGCCAACCAAATTCCCAGACCAGCTGGGGTCACAAGCTCAGCTCTGCAAGTGGTCAAAGTTGCTGGTCAGGATCTCAGCTCAGGCCCAACTGCTAGTAGGAATGCAGTCTGCCAAGATCTGCACACTGACTGCTGTGAGCCCCTTCCTCCTTCTCTATCTGTAGCTGATTCTCCTAATAGTCCCCAGGAAGTACTTAAGTGGGCCTCCCAGGAAGCATCTGGAACGCTGGGGAAGCTTCATGTCCTCTTACACTCTTTTCCTGCAGGAGAAGCTTTAGGCCCAGGGGATCTTGTCAGGGCAGCCCTGCACTGAGCTGGGGGGCAGGGGTTGGGGTCGGGGAGGTCAGAGTGAAACCACTCCTCTTGCTCTTCCATGCTCTTTCTCTCAGTTATTGTGGTTGCGGGGGATGCTTCATACTCACCCTTTCGTTCTGGGATCTTCAGAGAGGTATCTAGTCTGTGAATTGTTGCTAGCTACTCTTTCCCTGAGGAGTACTGCCCTCCATCTTTCTCCAGATTCCAGTTTTATTAAACTGTTGTTTCATATGTTTTATCTGGGTTTTCAGTTGTTGTTAAGTCGCCAAGTTATGCCTGACTCTTTACGACCCCATGGACTGCAGCATACCAGGCCTCCCTGTCCTGGGTTTTCATTTGTTCCAGGCTTAATGATAAATGTGACCTCTGTTACTTCATCTTGGCCAGAAGATATTCTATATATCTTTCTGCACAGTGAATGTAATAAAAACATCCAGTTACCTAAATATTCGGGTGAAGAGATTGTTCTTACAGATTTACTCTTTTCTGTATTGAATTTGGAAAGAAAAGCCCTTATTGTGTTCATTTTTTGCATTGACTTCTCTATTACTTTTCTTTATCTATAGTTTATCCATAGTTGGATTACATTATTACATATAATAATGTCATATAAATCACTAATTCTTTTCTGTTCTATTAGAATTAGATGGGATTTAATACTTAATGGAACTCTGCTGAAAAGACTTTATGCTGTTTTTTCATGCCTGTTTTCCCCTAACATTATTCCATCAAAATATGAAGAAATGAGATAAAAAGGAGAATCTGGACATATCTTTCAACTGACTGAAATTTTGTATCACTAAAATGTATTCTGGAAAAGGACATCCTAATCCTATGGTATATTGCTGCCATAATAAATTACAAGAGGTGGTAATTTTATTTTGTTTTCAAATTATTTCCTACAAACCAGCCATCTAATTCAGAAGGCAATTAAGAGCCAAGTTTTAAAAATTATGTACCAGGAAATGCCTCATTTATGAATGTATACGTATTTGTGCTCATAAATTGGGTAATTGTGCACCTAACAACTCTCTTCATTTTACCATTATTCTGTTGTTTGTATACAAATGAAGCTTTTTTTTTTTAATTCAAATTCTGTAGCCTGGAACATTCACGGTTAGTGGATGACTATCATTTCTTCTTCTGTTCATTGTTAATGCATATAATTTCATGTGAAATTATAGAATATTTTATTTACTCCCGTATAACTGTAGCTTCCCTGGTGGCTCAGATGGTAAAGCGTCTGCCTGCAATGCAGGAGACCCGGGTTCGATCCCTGGGTTGGGAAGATGCCCTAAAGAAGGAAATGGCAACCTACTCCAGTACTCTTCCCTGGAAAATCCCATGGGTGAAGGAGCCTGGTAGGCTACAGTCCATGAGGTTGCAAAGAGTCGGACGTGACTGAGCAACTTCACTTTCTTTCTTTCTTTATAACTGTAACAAGAGCTTCTTTACTAAGCATTCATTCTGAAGTTAATTTGGCTTTATCTGTTATATAAAAATACTAGAAAAGGTATTAGAGTTTTAAATTACTTTTTTCATCAGGTTGATATATAAATTTAAGTTCTGTCAAGTATAGTTTAAAAATTGTTTTCCTGGAATGATTGCAATGGTACAAATAGATATCCCAGGCATTTCAAGGTTACAGCTCATCTCTAAAATGACTGAGCCCAGATACAGTAGTCCTGATAAGGTTTATTGACAGACACTGTGCTAGCTACTTAGAGACATTTTCTCATTTAAATAGATTATAGAAGAAAAAAATCAGCCCTTTTTTAACCTCAGTATTTTTCCAAAAGTATATATGCATATTTGTATATATGTATGTAAATATGTGTGTATGTATTAGTTTCCTATTGCTGCTGTAACACATAACCATAAACTTTTTGGCTTAAAATAGTAGAAATTTATTTTCTTACAGTTTGGGAAGTCAGAAATGAGTTACATGGGGCCAAAACCTAGGTGTCTGTGTGGCCACATTCACTAGAGAAACTCCAGGTGAGAATCTGTCCTTGCCTTTACCAGCTCCTAAAGATGCCTTTCTTGCATTTGTTGCTCATGACCCATTCCTCCATCTTCAAAGTAATAGGCATGACCTTCTCCTCTTTTGTAATAAAATTTCCTTCTACTCCCCTCTTATGAGAACACTTGTGGTTACAATTTATGGCTCACTTGGGTAATCCAAGCCTATTTCCCCTTCTCAGGATCCTTAATCACACATATAGTTTTCTGTCACCTAAGATAGCATTACAGATTCCAGGATTAGGATGTGAATATCTTTTATGGCAAAATTGGAGTATAGAATACTGTCAAAAGTCACATAAAAACAAAATATGTTAGAAGTAAGTACAGTTTGGAAAAAAGTTGTACAGGTTGATAATATAAGCAAGAAATCCTGGAGTTCCTCTGCTGTGTTCCAACATTTTATATTGTTGACTGGTAGTTTTTATTCCCAACATAAACAGGACATTAACCGTCAGGTGTTTTTTCTGGTATTCTTCATCTTCTATTCTTGTCTTTCCCTTCCTTGTAAAGCCAATGCTTAGTAATCTAAGGTTATAAGTTCATGAACTGGAACACAGTTCATGATATTGAACTGTGGGGGGCGACACAATGGCCTGATATTGTGATTAATTTAGAAATAATTTGCATTTGATATTTGAACATAGACATATTTTCAGTTACATGCTTTTGTACTCCTTTTAAGGCTTTTTGTCACCCTCTCCTTCAACTTTGTTCTCAACACTAGTGAAAGAATTGATCACTTTGGCACTAATGGTGTTATTTAGAGTAGTATGATGAGTTTTTAGGTGACAGTTCTAAAGGTTCCTTAATTCTTCAAAGATCATACATCTCTGAGCTAGATTATTTTTTTCTGTGTTCAGTATCTTTCCAGTGTTTATGTCTTTCCCTTACCTTTGGAGGGAAAATTTCATTTGGTACTTCTAATATGTGTTATGGTCCACTGACTTCTAGAGTTACCAATAAATGTGTTTTAGCAAAGTAAGCATGTATTTTCTTGCATAATGTATAAGCTAAATGTTTACATTTTCTTCCTTGAACTACAGAATACCAGAAGGCCCTATTGATCAGGGACCAGCTTCAGGAAGGATTCGTGCTTTAGAAGAGCAGCTTGTGAAGGCCAAAGAACAGATTGAAAATTATAAGAAACAAACTAGAAATGGTAGGTAATCATACATTGTTTCTCCTCTTCAATATACTGATATTAGTACAAATAATTGAAAGTATCCTTTCATCAGAATGTTGGAAATGTTAATACTCTCCATTGCTTGACGACAGGTTTGGGGAAGGATCATGAAATCCTAAGGAGGAGGATTGAAAATGGAGCTAAAGAACTTTGGTTTTTTTTACAAAGCGAGTTGAAGAAATTAAAGAATTTAGAAGGAAATGAACTCCAAAGACATGCTGATGAATTTCTGTCAGATTTGGGACATCATGAAAGGTACTTCTTCACCTTTCATTTGGGACTTAGTAAAGGTTATGATCTAGGAGTGGGAAATGGAGACCTTTGTAATTTCCCTGCTGAATGGTAAATGATACCTTCCGTGCCGGGAGGGATTGGGGGCAGGAGGGAAGGGGGGCGACAGAGGGTGAGGTGGTTGGGTGGCGTCACCAACTCAATGGACATGAGTTTGGGTGGGCTCCAGGAGTTGGTGATGGACAGGGAGGCCTGGCATGCTGCGGTTCATGGGGTTGCAAAGAGTTGGACATGACTGAGCAACTGAACTGAATGTTTAGAAGCAGTAGAGTGCCTAAGGGCTCAATGGACGATAATCACCAAATATAGTTCATCACCAGAAAATATTATTTTAAATGAATTTCTAGAAATCTTTATGCCCTGACTAAACTCCAAAGGTAGTGCTCAGTCAGCTAGCAATACATTAAAATATCTTCCTAAATCTCCTTGTTATACTACTGACATGTGAAGTGGAGTGTGCAGTTTACATTACAGTACATTCATTGGAACACATACTGAGGCTGGCAGTTATGTTTTGAATTGAAACACTGAAAAATTCAGCAGCTTTTTAAGATTTCTAGAGAAAGGTTAATAAGTTTTTGATAAAAAGGAGCATTCTGTTAATTGCTCTTCCATTTAGTTGCTAGAAAGAAGAACCTAAAATCTGCCTAGTTAAATTTGTTTCTCCTGTTCGCACATTTCTGAAAATGTGGAGTTTATCTTCTGTGGCAGAGGACACATTTTGGTCTGGTGTGTTCATGCAGAACAAAATGTATCCGAGAATCTTTATAGATGTGTAAAACCTGTCCGTAGGCCTATTATATTTGCAAGTCTATATTCCCAGTGGGATTCTGATGGCAATTACTGTCTCATTAGTGAACAATAAAAGAAAAATTGTTGTATTAACACAGCCTACCACTGTGAAGAGGAAAAGAATTACCCCACAACCTAGAGATTCCTATATATTAACATATCAGCAATATAGTAGTTATTTTGAAATATTGCTTTGCTGTCTTAAGTGAAATTACAAATAAAATCTGTCAGTTTATTGGATTCATTTTAGTATTAGTGAATCTGTAGCAGTTTCATTTCAGTTCAATCGGTCAGTCACCTCCAAATGTTTGCAACCCTGTGAATTGCAGCACGCCAGGCCTCCCTGTCCATCACCAACTCCTGGAGTTTGCTCAAACTCACGTCCATCGAGTCAGTGATGCCATCCAGCCATCTCATCCTCTGTTGTCCACTTCTCCTCCTGCTCCCAATCCCTCCCAGTATCAGGGTCTTTTCCAACGAGTCAACTCTTCGCATGAGGTGGCCAAAGTATTGGAGTTTCAGCTTCAGCAGCAGTCCTTCCAATGAACACCCAGGACTGATCTCCTTTAGTATGGACTGGTTGGATCTCATTGCAGTCCAAGGGACTCTCAAGAGTTCTTCAACACCACAGTTCAAAAGCATCAATTCTTCAGTGCTCAGCCTTCTTCACAGTCCAACTCTCACATCCATACATACTCTATAGCAGTTTAAGAGCATAAATTTCAAGGGGCATTGATTTACTAGGTCACAGATTGAGCAGTCCCTCTTAAATTTTTGCCTAACTTGCAGTCAGGTCATACTTAGACCTTTAGACCAAATATGGACTGATTCTGTCCTTAATGCTTCTCCACCCTAAGCTGATTCTGGGCACCAAGTTTCTGTTAATTGGAGCTTTGTGCTTCTGTGCTTTGCTTATTGCAGTTTTTTAGGAAAATGCAGATCTGAAGAGGATTTGAGTTGGGCAGACTATATGGTATTTTAAAAGATAAATTTTGGCTCTTCTGATAGAATATTTAATTTTAAAGTTTGAGTGATTTAATTACTTGAAAATTTAATTTTTTCAGTTCAGTTCAGTAGCTCAGTTGTGTCCAACTCTTATAACTCTGTGGACTGTAGCACGCCAGGCTTTCCTGTCCATCACCAACTCCCAGAGCTTGCTCAAACTCATGTCCATCGAGTTGGTGATGCCATTTTATTTTTTGGCCTTTTTCAAATTAAAATAATTATTTAAAAATTATTTTGTGCCTAGGTTCTGTGACTATATGTAGAATTGAAAAAATATGTGGAAATAAAAAAATGTTGGGCCCTGAAAAGTTGATGTAAATCAATGTTAATTTTTTTGTGAGTTGAGTTCAATCTTAAATACATTTTTTTTCTTGACACTACCTTTTAGTAAATGTTAAGTAATAATATTTTGCTGAAAACAAAAAAGATAGAAGACCCAAAACACCGAGTTTCTTTTGCTATCTTAAGCAGAACTTATAATGAACTTAGGATACAACTTCACAGGGTAGTAATTTAACTCCAGGCAGCCAGATTAGAATACCGTATTATAAATAATGAACAAAGGAAAACCAAAAATTAGAGAAATAACCTTTAAAGTAATGAATGTACAAATAGAGAGGATTTGTATGTATGTAGCATATGCCATCTTACTGTTAATTTCCAAGATCTTTAAGTATAAGAATTAAAACAGACCTTTGTCTCTGGTGATTTTTACATTACATAAAATCCCCATTTTCTTTTTATGCTGGCCCAAATTATAGTCTATAGTCTCTGGACTGAAAGCCTACGTTCTCTGAGAAATTAGTTAGAGGTTGAGTCTATCAGTTTTCTTGTTCAGATTTCCCTTTGAATCACTCATCATTTTTTTGTTCAGAAAGACATCAGTTATAAAGAAATTACTTATGGGCTTTTGTTTTTTCAGAATGGCTTTCTTTATGTGTTAAAATTCTGTTCCCATAGAAACTCTGATCTGTTTTTTTTTTTTTACTTTCTAAATAAACTTTATTGTGTCATAATTTATTTACAATGAAATGTACATAATGTAATCTATAGTTCTGTGGGTTTTGACAAATGCTCCTCGTTTTATAACCACCACTGCAATCAAGATACAGAATTGCTACTGCCCTAGGAGAATTCCTTCTGCTCCTTTATAGTCAGCACCTTCCCACCCCCAACTCCAGTCCCTTATAGTCACCAAATCTGTACTCTGTCCCTATAATTTTGCCTTTTCCAGAATTTTATGTAAATGGGATCATACTATGTAGATTTTTGAGTGTGGTTTCTTTCACTTGGTATAATACATGTGGGATTCACACATGTTGTTTTGTGTATTGGTAGTTCATTCCTTTTTATTGTTAAGTAATAAGCATAGTATGGATGTACCACAGTTGGTTTATCCATTCAGCAGTTGAAAGACACTTGAGTTTTCTATTTTTTGGCAATTATGTATATACGAAGCTACTATAGACATTAGCATATACGTTTTTGTGGAAACATGTTTTTATTTCTTTTGGATTAATATGCAGGAATGGGTTTGATGGGTCATATATGGAGTGTATCATGGCATCCAGTCCCATCACTTCATGGCAAATAGATGGGGAAACAGTGGAAACAGTGGCTGACTTTTATTTTTCTGGGCTCCAAAATCACTGCAGATGGTGATTGCAGCCATCAAATTAAAAGATGTGGAGGCCTGGCATGCTGTGGTTCATGGGATCGCAAAGAGTCGGACATGACTGAGTGACTGAACTGAACTGAACTTATATGGAGTGTATGTTTAATTATGTAAGACATCACCAAGCTTTCCCAATGGGTAGTACTATTTTGTATTCTCACCAGCAATGTGTAAGATTTCCAGTTGTTCCATATCTTTGTTGCCCTTGATATTGTCAGTTTTTATATTTTCTCCTCTCCATTCTAATAGTGTAGTGGTATATCATTATGGTTTTAATTTGCAATTCCTTACTAATGTTATTGAGCATCTTTTAATGTGCTTAATTGCCATCCAATATCATCTTTGGTACAGTGTCTTTTCTAAATCACAGGCTTGATTTTGGGGGATTGTCTTTTTATTGAGTTATAAGCAGTCTTCATTTTATTCTGTATGCAAATCTTACTGGTGCATTTTAGAGAGCTCTTTCTGAGAGCCATGTGAAGGAAAGTCTGTTGTCAGGAAATTAGAAAGATTTTACAGAAGTCCAAGTAAGTGATAATGAGCTTCTGGACATGGGTAGTTGGCAGTAGGAATAGAAAGGGATAAATGTAAGAAAAATGGAAGTCACAGAACTTGGTGACTGATCCAGTATAGGGAGATGGGGGACTCAGAAGTAATTGAGGACTTTGTATTTTGCTGGAAGGATAGCTTTCATAAATGGAGATCATTGTTTCTTGTGTAGTAATTTGATTTTTTTCCCTGACAAAGTGTAGTCTCCTGATGCCTAGAACTCTAAATTCAATACCTTCTCTTCCCTGCAGTGCTAAGCACTCATTACTTAGTTTGCATTTAGTAAGTTAAGTCTTTTTTATTTAGTATATGCATTCTTTGATTATTTCACACTCTACTTTGCACCCTGTGCAGAAACAAAATCCTATTCCATCAAAAGATTTATTAATTTTTTGCAACTAAATAAAATTATATAACTGAGGTCAAAATATTCTCTTGTAATTGAGAATCGCAAAAGGTATGAAGGGTAAGTTACAGGAGAAAAGTCATTTACCTCTAAGTATAAAGCTAGAAGCTCCAGTTGATTTTAACAGTGGATGCTGCAAAACAGTATCTGTTAGAAATCACGGAGTATATAGGGGAGGAATTGGAGGTGGACTTCTAAAGTGTTATCAGAGTCATGCTGAAAGGAAGCCTGTGGGACCAGAAGAAAACCTGACATTCTGTATTTTTGTACTCCATGCCCTTGACTCCATGTTTGATTTACTTTGGAGGATTTAAGTGATCCCTGTATCTAAAAGTAGTCATGAGACTGCAGTTATCCATCAATCACTAAAAATACAGTGTTTCCAATTTGGAGTATAATTCTGATTCTAAGCAATGAAGTATGAACTTTCTTTAAATGTGAATGATAAAAAATAATGTTGCTTACCAAATATATCTGATCGTTTGTTTATATTTCATGGACCCTGTGCTCAGTAATTCTTTAAATGCATCTAAAAAT